TTATAATATGATAATCTATTTTGCTATAATTACAATATACTTTATATAATATATGATATATATATAATCAAAGAGCATAAAATACCAAAATTGGGTATAAAATATTTGTTCTTTAATTATAATTATGTTTATATATATTTATATATTTATTTATTTAAATATATTTATTTTTAGATTAAATATTAATAGATTAGAATCTATAGCCAAGTTACATTCATATTATGTTACAAATGTTGCTTCTGAGCTTAAATATGCTAATATCAATATTACAAATAATGATAATAAAAATCAAATTGAAAATCTTATATGAATTTGTCGATTTGGTGATCAAGAATTTAATGAATTTGATGAATCTAATGAATTTGAATTTGAAGAATCTAATAACTTTGATAAAGATGAAAATTCTGAAGATGAAGAATTAGAATTTAAAGAATTTGAAGAGCCTGAAGAATTTGAAGAATCTCAAAAAACTGGTATCTTAAATAATGTAGATGATTATTTTAACTTTAATAATGATGAATTTCAGCAAGCATTAAATATGAATGTTTCAGTTGTTATTGAACCGTATGAATTAGAAATTAGCAATAATGATACAGAATTTGATATTAATGAGCTTTTAAATACACTTTTAAAAAAATAGCTATATTTATACTATATCAATTTTTTTTGATTTTTATAACATAGAGGTAACCCAGATTTATATAGATACAAATTGTTATATGTATAAATATTATACTTTTATAAATAAATATTTTATATAGCTATTACTATATTTTATAACATTACACTAGTAATATAAGCCAATGCCAAACCACTAGGTTGACTAGGTTGCCAAATTACTCGGTCAGTTAACCAGACCAACCATTCTATTAAAAAATTTTCATCTAAGAACTATAGTTTAAAACATTCTGATAAATAAATTATAGTAAAAAAAAAAAATCAAATATAAATAATAAACTAGTAATTTATTCTCTTAAATGCTTTATATATTTATTATTTAATTTATTATATTTATTTATCTATCCATTATATTTACTTACCACTACTTACTATCAATTAACCTACCTATTCATTAGCTTCCTTTATGATAATTTCTTATCTGCATTGCTGTATTATTACAATTAACTCTTCTGACATTCAACTATCAACCATTATATTCACTTACTTGCCATACTATAACTGTTTTTAAGAAGTTCCCTTACTGCAATTGTAATTTGTTAGTAATCGAGATGTTATATCATTATGTAAATTATGGATTTTGATATATTTATTAGATATTAATTTACCAATTCTACTTTATTATATATATAATACAGTAATAATTTATAAATCGAATAAAAAACAATTGTGCTAAACAAAATTTTAAATTTACAGTATTTTATTTAAAAAATTTGATCTTATCCATTTTACCAACTATCGTAAATTATACAATAAATTTCTATTGGGCGAAAAAATCTGAATGTTTCAGCCGGGTTGACCTATAAAGATGCGGGTTGAATGCTAACCCGCCCATCCGCCCACCCAAATAATAGATCAGAGTTAGCCCATATCACTACATTATATAGTGATGGGGAGATTATTTATTGATAATATTAGTATTAATAAAAATTAGTTATGAGAACGATAACAAATATTACTGTGCTTTTCAAATTATTGTAATTAGGAATTTTCATATATTATACCGGGAAATCAGAAACTAGAAAAAATGCCAGTATATGATTGGCTAAAAATTATTTCTAACCAATCACAAATCTGCATTTTTTCTAGATTTATGATTTTCAGTGTGATATATAAAAATCACTAATCTCAGTAATTTAAAAAGTGCAGTAATTAATCTCATATTTGCATTAGTAATATATAATTAGGGTTGTTAATAAGTTGGGTTGGATTAAACAAACTTCAACCCACTCCAGTAAATTAAACTTACTCCGAGTTTCTTTGAGTTGTTCCAGTTATTCAAAATTTAAAGATAGAAGTTTAAACCCACTCCAACTTAGGTTGGGTCTACTCAGAGTGCTTCGAAAAAAGCCACTCATTAACAACCCAATAGATAATTAACTTATTATATCACAGGTTGAATCAATAAATATTGGGTGCATACCAGAAGACAAGTTTCCTGTTATGTACCTGATAGTCTGCCGTAGATCTGCCAAGAATAATAGTAGCATATTGGTAGAATATTGAAAAGTTATCGAGAGGTAGATAGATATTAGCAACATAACAGCGAAATATTGGAATATCCTGATAATTTACTTTTAGGCCCAGAATGCTAAGAGTAAGATATCAGAGTATCCTAATATTGTGCTGTTATATTACCGATATCGATCTACCTCCCGATATCTTACCAATATTCTGCCAATATGCTACTGTTATTCAGTAGTTATTTGGCGGATCTATAGCAGACTATCGGGTACATAACAGGAGACTTGTTTCCCGATATGCACCCAATATTCATTGATTCAACCTGTGTATGCTGAGGTTTGGCTTGTAGTAAAATCTATGAAGAATTTTTTGGTGAAACCGCAAAGGCTATTTGCTAGTATAAGTTTTTTCTTTTATATTGTGCCAAATCCTTGTATTTAATTGGCCAATTGATCTTGAAAAATAATATGAACAGAGAATCGATTTTACCCCTGAAACTGTTCTATTTTTGAATCTGAAAATAAATTTGTTATGATAGTAAATAGTTATAATTAAATATGTTCTAACTTTTAAATCAATTTTTAATTATATACTGTGTAATTTAAAATAATTCTGTAATTAATTACAATACATAACACTTTTATTACAAGTTTTTGATAATTTTGCATATAAAATAAATGAAAAATTAATTGGCTTAGAAAGTTTATTGAAGTTGAGATATTTATTTGTAAGTTTATTATTAGGATGACATAGCAATTCTGTTAATTATATTGGAGTCGTTGCATCCGCAGATTGGAATTCTTTTAATATTGCTAATTATTTTTTATTTTTTTGTAGTACTATTATGATCTATTATATTATACTATCCCAATAATTCATCATCAATATAGCAGTTCTACCACCAAATTCTAATATCTGAAATCCCAATGGTTTATAAGCCTGATATGTATAATACTAGCAAAGAACAAATAAACCTAGTTCATAATCTCAACAAAGATTAGTTCCTGACAGTTCATGATCCCAAAATAGACAATCTCAACAAAATTGACAATTCTGTTATGAACTGTAAAG